TTAAAACAAAAACAAAACAAACAAAAAACCCTTAGTACCAAAAAACAGAAATTCAATTTAAAATCTTAGAATGTAGTAAACAGGAACTTAGCAAAATTTAGGCTAGGGGCAATGGCTCAAACCTGTAACCCCGGCACTTTGGGATGCTGAGGTAGGCAGATTGCTTTAGCCCAGGAGTTTGAGATCAGCCTGGGCAACATGGCAAAACCTCATCTCTAAAAAAAATACAAAAAATTAGCTGGGCGTGGTGGTGTGTGTCAGTGGTCTCAGCTACCTGGAAGGCTCAGATGGGAGGACTACTGGCAGTGAGGTTGCAGTGAGCCATGATTACCCCACTGCACTCCATCCTGGGAAACAGAGTAAGGCTGTGTCTTCAAAAAAAAAAAAAAGAAAGAAAAAGAAAGAAAAAATTTATAACCTTAATTATTTTAGACAAGAAAGAAAGAAAATTAATAATCTCCACATTTAACTAAAGATTATTAAGGAGTGAAAAAGGGGAATGAATCCAAACAAAGAAGCAAGGCAATATAAAGATGAGAACAAAATTAATTAAGCAGAAAAAAGATATAACAGATAAGATGAACACACTTCAAAAGGTAATTCTTCAGAAAAAAAATTAAATGAAAAATTACTTTCAAGATTAATCAAGAAAAAGATATAGCAAATAATTACCAATTTTAATTTTTATAATTTATTTTATTTTTCATTATTGTTTGTTTTATTTTTCACTTTTAAAAAAATTTTTTGAGACAGGATTTTGCCCTGTCCCCTAGGCTAGAGTGCAATCATGTGACCACGGCTCACTGCGGCCTTCCCTGGCTCAAGCGATCCTCCCACCTCAGCCTCCCAAGTAGCTGGGACTACAGGTGCACACCACCACACCCAGCTAATATTTTATATTTTGTAGAGACAGGGTCTTGCCAGGTTGCCCAGGCTGGTCTTGGAACTTCTGAGCTAAAGCAATCCTCCTACTTAGACCTCCTAAAGTGCTGGAATTACAGGCATGAGCTACCAGGCCTGGCCATAATTCAGAATGAAAAAGAACCACTATGAATGGAGCAGAGATGATTAAAGTTAAGAGAAATGGTTGAGCGTGGTGGCTCAGGCCTGTAATCCTAGCACTGAGAGGCTGAGGTGTGCAGACTGCCTGAACTCAAGAGTTCAAGACCAGTCTGGGCAACACGGTAAGACCCGTCTCTACTAAAAAAATATATAAAAATTCAGCCAGGCATAGTGGCACACGCCTGTAATTCCAGCTACTTGGGAGGCTGAGGCACAAGAATCACTTGAATCTAGGAGGTGGAAGTTGCAGTGAGCTGAGGTCGCATCATTTCACTCCAGCCTGGGTGACAGAGCGAGACTGTTTCCAAAAAAAAAAAAGAATACACAAACAAGTTTATGCCAACAAATGTAAAAACTTAGGTGATATTAATATTCCTAGAAGAGTCAATGACCAAAAATGACTCTAGAAGAAATAGAAAATCAGAATGATTCAATAACTATTAAAGAACTAAATCAGTATTTTAAATTTTTCCCACATAGAAAACACAGGCCCACAATGGCTTCATAGGGTAGCTTGACTAAAGACTGAAGGAACTGATAATTTCTTTTATTTATTTATTTATTTATTTATTTATTTATTTTTTGAGACAGAGTCTCGCTCTGTCGCCCAGGCTGGAGTGCAGTGGCGCCATCTTGGCTCACTGCAACCTCCACCTCCCGGGTTCAAGGGATTCTCGTGCCTTGGCCTCTGGAGTAGCTGGGATTACAGGTGCATGCCACCACACCCAGCTAATTTTTGTATGTTTAATAGAGATGGGGTTTCACCATGTTGGTCAGGCTGGTCTTGAACTCCTGACCTTGTGATCTGCCCACCTTGGCTTCCCAAAGTGCTAGGATTACAGGCATGAGCCACTGTGCCCGGCTGATAATTTCTTTTTTTATACAAACTCTCAGAGAACTTAAAAGAATACATGCTCCTACTAATCATTTTAGTAGTTTACCATAACCAAAGCCAGATTGGACAGTATATAAATGAAAATTTCTAGGCAAATCTCACTCATGACCACGGATGGAAAAATCCTAAAAGAAATACCAGCAATGGGCCCAAAAAAAAAAAAAATGACCAAATAAATTACATTCCAGTAAGTCAAGATTGGTTCAACATTCTGAAATCTATTAATAGAATTTACTACATTAAGGGATTCAAGGAGAAAAAAATTTATACATGCACACACTTCTTTCACTAGAGATTAGTAATACATCTGATTAAATTCAATGCCCATGCCATTCATGGTAAAAATTCTTAGCAAAGCAGGAATGAAAGAGAGTATTTCCTTAACCTGACTGAAGCCACCTTTGCAAAACTTATTAACAGTGAGAAAACTATTGCAGTGAAAGAGATCTGACCTAACCAACTCCATCTTGCCTTTAACCTCCAATACCTTGGCCTTGTTCATCCTTGTGCATAGGCCAAGCTGACAATAGGAGGAATATGGTTTATAGTTAAACTTTGGAACAAAGATGGCAATAGCTCTTTTCCAAAACAAACCCCTTACTTGCCTGGGGACCAACATCTTTGCAAAACCAACAAATTAGCCACAAGATTAGAAATTACGGTTTAGGAGTCATGCAGTCAGAAGCCACAAGATTCCTAACCTCCTCAGTTGCTTCCATGTATAATGTTACTATTATAAAAACTAGTATTTAAGGTATTTTCCAGACTCTGCATTCTGATGGATCAGCCAACGTACCCAGACTGGTAAGTTTATCTGGTCTTCTGCCTCGCCTCCCCCAAGGAACTGACTCAGCGCAAGAGGACAGTTTTGGACTCCCTATGATTTCATCACCAACCAAACTAATCAGCATTCCCTATTCCCTAGCCCCCAAACTATCTTTGAAAGAAGACCCTAGCCTCCAAATTTTCAAGGAGGCTCATTGGAGTAATAATAAAACTCCAGTCTCCCATTTAGTCAGCTCTGTATGCATTAGGCTCTTTCTCTACTGCAATTCCCCTGTCTTGATAAATCGACTGTATTTGGGCAGTGGGTAAGATGAACCCATCAGACAGTTACATGACAGATTATCTACAAATACCTACAGTACACATCATATTCAATGGTGAAATATGAAAAGCTTTTCCTTAAATATCAGGAAGAAAAATGACAAGAATGTTAGCTATCATTAGTTCTATTAAACACAGTGCTGGAGGTCTTAGCAGATACAATAAAATGAGAAAAAGAAAGATTGGAAAGGGAAAAAGAAAATACCTTATTCCAAAGTGTTTATTATTTATTATATGTATAGAAAATCCAAAAATAAAAATCTACATAGAATAAGAATTCAAGATTCATATTCTTATTAAAAATATCATGTATATATATGGAGCATACACACAAAGACACTAAAAGGTTCTATATGAAATAAGATTTATCTTTAGGTTGTAGGTTTATATTTTTATTTTTTTGTTTCACCATTATGGTTTTTCCAGTATTCTCCACTAGATTATTATATGTTTTAAAAGAATAATGTTACAAGATGTCAAATAAATATATAAAAGTCAATTTTGTGTCTACATACTAGAAACAAACAGAAAACACAATTTAAAGAGGTATCATTAAATAGCAAAATAAAATACCTAGGAATAAAACAAGATTTCAATATATTTTTTAAAAAAATTATAGGCTGGGCGCAGTGGCTCACGCCTGTAATTCTAGCACTTTGGGAGGCCAAGGCAGGTGGATCATAAGGTCAAGTGTTCGAGACCATCCTGGACAACATGGTGAAACCTTGTCTCTACTAAAAATACAGAAATTAGCTGGGCATGGTGGCACATGCCTGTAATCCCAGCAACTTGGGAGGCTGAGGCAGGAGAATTCCTTGAACCTAGGAGGTGGAGGTTGCAGTGAGCCAAGATCACGCCACTGCACTCTGGTCTGGTGACCGAGCAAGACTCTGTCTCACAAAAAAAAAAAAAAAGAAAAAGAAAAGAAAGAAAATTATAAAAATTAAAAGAAATTAAAAAATTTAATAAATTTAAAAAATCATATTAATGGTTTAAAAGTCTCAATATCCAAAAGATGTAACTTCTTTCTATGTGAATCTATAGATTCAACACAATTCCAACCAAAATCCCAAAAGAAAGTTTTGTGGAATTTAATCTGATTCTAAATGGATACAGAAAAGAAAAATGATATAAATCATTAAGACATGTCTAAGAAGAAGAAACATAAAAAAGAAAGTGCTCTATCAGGAAACAAGATTGATTACTAGGCTTTAATAATTAAGTCAGTGCAGCATTTGTACTGGGATAGACAAGTTGATCAACTGGAACAAAGAGAAAGCTCAGAAACAGACTCCCCCTTGTAACCTGAGATACAGCAGAGTTGCACTGCAAATCAGTGGGTAAAGGAGGTCTATTTTAAAACAGTGGGACAGCAATTCCCCAAGAGAACAATAAGTTCTCTTGATGGGAAAAAATGAAAATTCATCCTTACTGGACACCACATCTTAAAATAATTTTTAGGTCAACAGATTCTACTTCAATAGAGGTGGGCAAACAGGAATGGAAGATTCATTCTGATTGACAGGGAGGATAGTTTTCTCAGGAGAGATGACCTTTGATGTGGTCCTTGAAGAATGAAAAGGATTCTTATGGGAGAGCAATGTGGGAAATGGACTTCCAGGCGAGAGCAGCCAGATCAAAGTCTCAGTGTGAGAGGCACGTTCTGGGAATGGACACACAACCAGCCTGTCTGAACGGGAAAGAAAGCTATAGACGTTGATGGCTGGCTGGCCGTTTATAGTATTTTTGCATCTACGCTGCACCACGTTTCGGTTCTCCATCCTGGTAAGAACCAGTTATATTCGCAGGAAAAAAATAAATAAATATAGTGCTTCTACAACGCTGACACTCATCAAAAAGCTACTTTTATTAGAGTTCAGATATGGAAAAAATAAAATCAAAAACATTTTTTAAAGCCTTGAGAAGTTCAAGTTACCTTTTCTTTCTTTTCTTGGGTGTCCTGGTTCTGGTTACTGGTGATTTTGTTGGCCTTGTTATGTACATTAGGAATGACCTACGGCGACAAAAAAAAGGGTGGAGGGAAGAAAATATTTAAATGACATAATCATCACATTTTTTTTTCTCTGACATTCCAGAAAGGAGAATTTTTTTTCAATCATTACATTTCTTTTTTTCTTTCTTTCTTTTTTTTTTTTGTCTGAGATGGAGATTCGCTCTTGTCGCCTAGGCTGGAGTACAATGGCACGATCTCTGCTCACTGCAACCTCTGCCTCCTGGGTTCAAGCTCTTCTCCAGCTGACTAGCTGTGATAAGAGGCACCTGCCACCATGCCCAGCTAATTTTTGTATTTTTTGTAGAGACGGAATTTCACCATGTTGGCCAGGCTGCTCTTGAACACCCGACCTCAGATGATCTGCCCGCCTCAGCCTCCCAAAGTGCTGGGATTACAGACATGAGCCACTGTGCCTGGCCTATCATTACATTCCTAAATGTATTTGTTTAAACAGCTAAAATCTTAACTTTGTAACTTCATCTAAAAGGTAAAAATATGAGAAGTACAATTCAAAGCAAACAATAAAACTTGGAAAATCTGACAAGATACATAACTCTAAAATATTATAAAGTTATATATATGCCATCGGGGCATAAAAATGCAGGTTTCTATATGTAGATCTAGAAGCTGAAGATGAAAGAGACTAAAAACAAGGTCACATACTAACTGTCATCCAAACATCACATTTTGCAAGATAGAGTTTTAGGGGTGATCTAATTAATTATCCAAGAACATAGGATAACACATTTGTTTGGCAGATTTACCTTATTCATCATTGTACCCCCAGTTCAAGTATGTTATCTCCCACACTGTGTGTGCTCAATAAATATTCCACTATCACTATTAGCATAAGGATGAATTAACAAATCTATTCCCACCACTGAATAAGCTCAATGAGAGCAGAATTCAATGTTATTTTTCACTATTTCTCTAGTGTTCAGAAACAGCCTAATACATAGTTGTACATAATAAATGTTTATAAATAAATGAACCAGTTTAATTTTATAAAAAGAGGCTCCTCAAAGAGCTAGCACAGATAATCTTGGCATAAAATCTGGTGAGAGACATGAAGATTAAAAGAAAAAAATAGACCAAGTTCAGCGGCTCATATCTGTAATCCCAGCACTTTGAGAGGCCAAGGCAGCAGGATCGCAGGAGTCCAGGAGTTTGAGACCAGCCTGGGCAACAGAGGGAGACTCCATCTCTACAAAAATTTTAAAATTAGCTGGGTATGGTGGCATGTGTCTATAATCCCAGCTACTTGTGGGGCTGAGGTCGAGGCTACAGTGAGCCACAATTGCACCACTGAACACCAGCCTGGGTTACAGGGCAAGACAAGACCCTGATTCAAAAAATACATAAATAAATTAAAAAGAAAAAAAAAACAACTCCTTGCTCAGAAAACTAAAAGACTGCCTGCCTAGAGATAATTAAAAACAAAAAGCCCATTTTCCCCTAAATGCAATTTAAGATTAAATTTTCATTTTTAATACAGAATGTAAAAAGTTTAGAATAAATGAGAAAGTCTCAGAAATGTGTCATTTACATAAAAAACAACAGTAATGATATATTAATATATATACAGTGCTATGTGAAGAGGCACTGTGCTAGTACCTAATATTTCTACATCTGTTTAATACATATAACAACCTAAGTCAGATTTCAAAGACTGGTGGGGTTTACAGGCATGTGTTCCTTGTCCTGAGGAATCTTGAACAAAACACTGCCTCCCTGACAAATCAGAAACTACCTGCCCACACTACTACTTTCTCCCATGGAAAAACTAGCTGATGCTAAATAGAAGCTTTGGGATGAGACAGAATGTCAGTTGCCACTATAATGTTTCTCTTTCTTTTCTTTTCTTTCTTTCTTTCTTTTTTTGTTGAGACAAAGTCTGGCTGTGTCGCCCAGGCTGGAGTGCAGTGGCGCAATCTCAGCTCACTGCAACCTCCGTCTCCTGGGTTCAAGCAATTCTTGTGCCTCAGCCTCCCAAAAGTAGCTGGGATTACAAGTGTGTACCACCACATCCGGCTACTTTTTCTGTTTTTAGTACAGACGGGGTTTCGCCATGTTGACCAGGCTGGTCTCTAACTCCTGACTTCAAGTTATCCTCTCACCTCGGCCTCCCAAAGTGCTGGGATTATAGGCGTGAGGCACCACGCCTGGCCCATTGTTTTTCAAATAGCAGAGAAATGTTCTTCTGTACATATATCTTTAGCAAAATTTAGAAGACAAAATGCTCAATAAGACTCCACCTTTCAGGAAAACAGACGATTGTATTTCTTGTGAAAGTAAAAATATATTTATAGGTGATTAATATGCAAAATGTTCATGCGTCAAAAAAAGTAGGTACCCTTATGGAACAATGGTATTGGTAAGTACAATTGGAATATAGGAAGAAAGAAAGCAACACGTGATGATAAACATAATGAGCTGAAGATATGACCCAATTTCAAAAGGATTTTTTAATATGAAATATGTATATATGATATTTCTGTGAAATGCAGTTATGTCATTAAGTGGAAAAAATTACCTTACAGAAAAACGTTGTATAGGCCTTACTCTCAAATAAATATTTGCCAAGTACATCCAAGTAGATACACACATTTTTCCAGAAGGCTGAAAATATGCTTGAGAAAGGGTGAGAAGATTTAAAAGGTGTATTGGTGGCTGGGCGTGGTGGCTCACGCCTGTAATTCCAGCACTCTGGGAGGCCGAGGCAGGTAGATCATGAGGTCAGGAGTTCGAAACCAGCCTGACCAACATGGTGAAACCCTGTTTCTACTAAAAATACAAAAATCAGCTGGGTATGGTGATGCATGCCTGTAATCCTAGCTATTCAAGAGGCTTAGGCAGAAGAGTCGCTTGAACCCAGGAGGCAGAGGTTGCAATGAGCCGAAATTGTGCCACTGCACTCCAGCCTGGGCAACAGAGTGAGACTCTGTCTCAGAAAAAAAAAAAAAAAGGTGTATTGGTGATGCTCCTAAGGCAGCTGATAATGCACACAGATAAAAACAACCACTCAATTCATAGTGCTGAGGAGAATGTTTATGTGACCAAGGTACTTTTAGACATCAGGCCTTAGATGGACACAACATTAGAAAATGACTTATTTTGGGGGTTTTAAGGAAAGTTCAAAATTTAATGTAAACTAGATACAAATGATTAAGCATTGCCTATATTTTCTATTTCTGGATAATCAGTACTACTTGCAATAATAAGTAAACCAAAAATAGCACCATTTTATAAAGACATGAAACTTGATTCTCCTTTCATTTGCCTCACGCAATAATAATCGTTTTGCCCTGGTCAGGTGCAGTGGCTTATGCCTGTAATCCCAACACTTTGGGAGGCTGAGGCAGGAGGATTGCTTGGGCCTGGAGTTCAAGACCTTCCTGAGCAATAAGGGGAGACCCTGTCTGCAGGAAAAAATCAAAAACTAGCTAGGCATGGTGATGTGTGCCTGTGGTCCCAGCCACTTGGGAGGTTGAACTGGGAAGATTGCTTGAGCCAAGGAGTTCGGGGTTTCAGCAAGCCATGATTGTGCCACTGCACTCAGCCTGGGGGACAGAATAAGACCCTGTCTCAAAAAAGAAAAGTCACTTTGCCCTATAAACAAAGTTGAAAATGGAACGAGTCATGGACATAGTAATTAACATCATCAATGGGAGATGCTCCCTTGGCTAGAATCACAGATAGTTCAATGCCTGATGAACTGAATGTACAATGTGGCACTCTATTATACTACATAGGGAGTAAGTAACTTGAGCATGGTATGGTGCTGAAGAGATTTTCTTTGTTTGAATAATTGAAAGAAATTGCACTGTTTGTGTCATCCAAACAAAACTTTCCACCTCAGCTCACTAGCAAAGGTTGGATTGAAAGCTTAGCCTTTTTGGCAGGGCATTCACAGCTGGCCACGCAAATGTATAATTTGATTGGCTCATTCTCAGTCAAAATTATTGATTTGGAAGTATAATTTGGCAAACAACAATCTGGCCAATTTTCCTGTTGAACTAGGTTTCCAGAAATAAAAGCCATGGCCTCAACTACATTCTCAATATTATAAGAATTAAAAACTGGATTCTAAAAATTCTTATTGAATTTCAAATTTTATGAAAACAAGAGAACTTTATTCAGCTCACCTCTCTCAATTAGTCTTGATGGTGTAAACATGGTGCTAAGAATGGAAGGCACCACACTGCAAAATGCAGTGACACAGCAGAGGTGCCAATGCAGGCTGCAGCTCACTGTGCATAGGCAGGTTACAAGTATGCAAAATATTCCATCAATGCCCTCACCACTGGGATAGCCAACCATATACCCACCCAGTTTGCCATGTAAGTATTATTTTCTTTTTGCCTTGACATACAACAGATTGGAATGCACTACAAAACTATATTGGAAAGCAAATAAATTTTTAAAATATGCAGTTAGACGTGCATATGTAAGCCTGGGGAACAAAGTGAGACCCTGTCAAAAAACCAAAGAGAAAATTCACCAGGTGTAGTGGCATGCACCTGTAATCCCAGCTACTTGGGAGGCTAAGATAATAAGATTGCTTGAGCTCAGGAGATAAAGGCTACAGCGAGCTATGATCATGCCACTGCACTCCAGGTTAGGTGACAGAATGAGACTCTGTCCCCAGAAACAAACAAAAAAAGAAGTGTATATGTTTTGAACAGCTGTCTTCCATTATAAAATGAAGAAAAAGAATATTGCTTCCAGTTTTAAGGGTGATGTTTCTGTTGCACATTGTAGTATAAAATCCATATCCTGCCACTGACATTTCATATCACAGTGCCAATTCCATACCACAGGAGTAATTCATTACAGAAGAAAAACTGTAGGTCAGGCGCAATGGCTCACACCTGAAATACCAGCACTTTGGGAGGCCAAGGTGGGCAGATCACTTGAGGCCAGGAGTTTGAGACCAGCCTAGCGAACAAGGTGAAATCTCGTCTCTACTAAAAACACAAAAATTAGTGGGGCATAGTGGTACATGCTTGCAATCCCAGCTATTTGGGAGGCTAAGGCACAAGAATCACTTGAACCTGGGAGGCAGAGGTTGCAGTGAGCTGAGATCGTGCCACTGCACTCCAGACTGGGCAACAGAGCAAGACTCCATCTCAAAAAAAAGAAAAAGAAGAAAAAGAAAAATTTTATGATTAAATATTGCTATTTTTACATTTGGAATCTCTAACATCAGAACACACAACAGTACAACATGTCAACGTGTTTTTATTTTTACATCCTTTAGTAAATATACACAACATGTGATAGTATCTCTACAATGTTTTTACACGTGACCTTCTGTTCAAAGTATTTCATAAACAAAGTAACTTGCTCAGAAAAGTAACTTGCCTCCAAGTTAGCAAAGCTGGTAAATAAGGAATCAAGAAATTGAAAACAGGTCTGTTTGATTCCAGGAGCAGTAACTTAAACCAATGCACACTGTAATGACTCCAATTTGACCAGAAGATCAAAACTGGAGGGGAAAAAAGGGAACTTAATGACTAAATTTTTATGAAGCTCATACTTTAACTATAGTTTGGGAACTACAATGAAAATATGTGGAAAACATTTAGAGGGCCCAGCTTGGTCTGCAGGTATCCAGAGTATTGTTAAACTTTTTGAAAATATGAACTAAAACTTACTCGTGGAGTGGATGACAAGCTCTGAACAACGAACACCACAGGGTTGCCTGCATTCTTAATGGCCTCAACTGCTTCGCTGTGTGAGGCATTCTGCAAATCTACTCCAGACACCTGAAACACAGGAGCAACTTATTTCAATTAGACCAGCATTAGATATTGCAGATAGGTTAATTCAAAGTTCATGTGTATTACCTAGTTATGAGAACAAGCAGAGTCTAAGGAGTTAGACCACAGTCAGAAAAAAATAAGATTGGCCCATAAAAGGCTTGGCTATTTTAGGAGAACATGTTTAAGGAAAGTAACATTTCACCTTTAGAAAAGTAGATAAGTCAAATATATTAATAAAAACAGCCCTGGTTAAATATAATTATCCAAAACAGGTAGTTCAGACAGTAACAGAACCTTAAGATGTCTGCCACCTCTGCCAGGAGCACAGTACATAATTCCGAGCGGGATAAAGGAGGCTGGGAATATCTATGGACTTTTATCATCTCTCCATTAAGCTGAGAGGCATAATATTTTAAGCAAATCGCCTGTTACCACAATTGAGTAGTTGAACATTTCTCAAATTATGTTTAAAAAGAAGTACCAAAAAACATCCACAAGTTCTTTTACTAAAACTATTTATGTGTTCAATAAATTTGAGTAAGTGTAAACAGTTCCTTATTATAGAAATTTCAGAGAATGTAACTTGCTAACATGCCCATAAATGGCCAAGAGCACTCTGCATTTCCAAAACATGTTTAACAGAACTAAGTTTTCAAATCTATAATGTAACAAAGCCTTGGTAAATGCTGGGATGGTCTATGGTCTCAATGGATACTAACAATTTGTGAAGACTGGTTTGCTATTAGAGGACCGAGGAAACAGGAATGTGGGTGGAGAGGGATGTGGGATGTTTTTAAGACAGGAGGAAATATTACAGCAATAATGATACAGTGTAGAGAAAAAAATGGATGATAAAGGAGAGACATGACAACTGTAAGGACAATATCCTTGGATAGTCAAGAGGAAATGATTCCTACCGTACAAGTTAGAGAGATTGGCTTTGGATAGAAGCACAAGTGTAATTCCTTTGCTGTTACAGAGGCAATTAGAAAAAAGATTTGGTGAGCACTGGAAGCAGGGGAAGTTCCCTTTAACTGCCTCTATTTTCTCAATGAAACCTGAAACCAGGACCTTAAACTGAGAGCAAGACTAAGTTAAGAGGCATAAGGAGTTTGGCACAGTTACCTGTCATATTAGTTTGTTCTCACACTGCTATAAAGAACTGCATAACACTAGGTAATTTATAAAGGAAAGAGGTTTAATTATCTCATGGTTCTGTATGGCTGGGGAGGCTTCAGGAAACTTACAATCATAGTGGAAGGGGAAGCAAACACATGGCAGGAAGGGGAAGTGCCAAGAAAAGGGGGAAAAGTTCCTTGTAAAATCATCAGATCTTGTAAGAGCTCACTCACCATCACAAGAACAGCAGAGCAGGGGTAACCACCCCCATGATTCAATTACCTCCCACTGGGTCCCTCCCATGACATGTGGGGATTTTGGTAACTACAATTCAAGATGAGATTTGGGTGAGGACACAGTCAAATCATATCACTTATAAAAACTGGAGACTGAACCAGCTAGGAGAAAATTACAGGACAGCAGGGCAAAACTAAAGACCCGCTTAAGGGGGTGCTCATGAGCTTCTAATGAGACCAGATACCATGGCTGGTTATTTTTCCAGCCATGCTAGAGACCTGGAATAAGCAGAGCTGCACTTAACTAGGGGGTTCTCCCAGACAAGTTCAGTGAAAGGAAAGAGGATCAAGAGTAGGAAGCACATGCAAGGGAGGGGTTGGAGCTGCCAACCACTGAACTTGAGTAGGCTGAGGAGGAAGTGAGCACATGAGAAGCTGAGGACACAGATGTGTGTGCCTGTGGTATAATATGAAATGTCCTTGTTCTTGTCACAGAGTACCCTTGGAGTTTCCTGAGTGGTAGGAGTGTCTTTTGTTATGCATTAACAGCCCCTTTCACATGTGAGTTCATGCTACTGAGGTGGCTTAGGGTAGAGCCCCCGGATATCCTCGGGATGGGGCCAGTCACGGAAAGACCAAAGGATTAGAGAATCCCTGCACTTCCCCCACGATCTCCAAGAAGTGAGGGTGGGGGCTAGAGATGAAGCTCTGTAAAAACCCTTGAACAACAAGATTTGATGAGCTTCTGGGTTGTTGAACATGTCGACATGCTGGAAGGGTGGCAGGTAGTACACCCAGAGTGTGGATGCTCTGTGCCCTCCTCCTCACGCTTTGCCCCATGCATCTCTTCATCTGGCTGTCCATCTGTAACCTTTGTATAACCAGTAAATGTAAGTAAGTGTTTCTCTGAGCTGCCCTAGTAAATTAACAAAATTCAGGGGGAGGGATGTGGGAATTCTGGTTTGCAGCCAGCTGGTCAGAAGTATAGGCGACAACCTACTAAGACTGGCATCTGACATGGGGGCAATCTTGTGGGAGCAAGCCCTCAACTGTATGATCTGATGCTATATCCAAGTACATAGTATCGGAATTGAATTAAATTATAAGACAGTTGGTGTCCGCTGGGGATCTGACACTATCTCCAGATACATAGTATCGGAATTGAACAGAATGGTAAGATATCCAGTTGGAGTCCACTGGAGAACTGCTTAGTGTATGGGGGAAACTCCTACACATCTGGTGACATCTAGTGTTCTGAGTGTGAGAGTAAAGGGAAAAGGTTGGTAAGAATATGGGGAAACTTAAACACTGCTGGTGTGAATGTAAAACGGTATAGCCAGTCACTCTGGAAAAGAGTTTGACAATTCTTTTCAAAACCAAAAGTAAAATTACCAAAAAACTCAGTAATTGCACCCTTGGGTATTTATCCTAGAGAAATGTAGACTTACTTTCACTCAGGAATTTGTACACAAATATTTAGAGCAGATTTATTTGTAATAGTCAATAATTAAAAACTACCCTAGTGTCTTTCAGTGGGTGAATGATTAAACAAATTGGTACATCCATATTATGAAATGCCACTGCTATGGTTGGAATTTATGTGTCCTTCACAATTCGTATCTTGAAATCCTAACCTCTAAGGTGAAGGTATTAGGAGGTAGGTAGGGCCTTTACAAAGGGATTAGGTCATGAGGGCTCTGCCCTCAAGAATGGGATTAGTGGCCTTATAAAAGAGACGCAAGATAGCTAGCTCATCCCTTCTACTATGTGAGGACACAGTGAGAAGGGCATCTCTGGCCCCACAGAAAACAGGTCCTCACCAGACACTGAATCTGCCAATGCCTTGATCTTGGAGTTCCCAGCCTTCAAAACTATAATGGAATTTCTATGTTTATGGTATTTTGTTTTGGCAGCCTGAATTTCCAAAGACAACTACTCAACAAAAAGGAAGAAAGTGGTAGTTTATTTGTAGAGAGAGGGTCTCATTATGTTGCCCAAGCAAATCTTGAACTCTTGGACTCAATCCATTCTCTTGCCTCCGCCTCCCAAAGTGCTGGGATTACAGGTGTGAGCCACCTCACCCAGCCACAGGAATGAACTATTAATGTGTACAACAAATTGAAAGAACCTCAAGGAGATTATGCTAAGTAAAAAAAGGCAATCTCAAAAAAACACATAATGCATAATTGCATTTATGAGATAATAGTGAAATAACATTTATAGACATCAACTAAACTGGTTGACAGAAGTTAGGGATGGGAGAGAAAGGGAAGAGGCAATCGAAAGTGAAGAAGGTGCCTGCTTCTCTTTCCACCATGATTATAAGTTTCCTGAGGCCTCCCCAGCAATGCGGAACTGTCAGTCAATTTAACCTCTTTCTTTCATAAATTATCCACTCTCAGGTATTTCTTCATAGCAGTTGAGAACGGACTAATACAGAAGGGTAATGCAAGGGAGTTCTGTGGTGATGACACAGTTGAGTTTATCAATCGTGGTGGTGCATATGCAAGGTTTTACATGTGATAAAACTGTATAGAGCTACAAACACACACACAAATCAATGCATGCATAACTGGTGAAATCTGAATAAACTACGGATTGAGTCAATGTCATTTTCTTGGTGTTGCTATTATAGTATAGTTGTATAAGATATTAAAATTGGAGGTGACTGAGTGAAGGTTACATGGGACTTCCCCATATACTTCTTTGTAATTTCCTATGAATTTATGATGATTTCAAAATACATTAAGAAAACTATAATACAAAAATAAATATTAAAAAATTAAATTATAATAGATCAGTAATCAAAGTAAAAGTGAATTCACCTCACTTATTTTCTAGATGATTGAATTAAAAAAACAAAATTTAGTTATATGTTGCTCATGCCTGTAATCCCAGCACTTTGGGAGGCTGAGGTGGGCAGATCACCTGAGGTCAGGAGTTCGAGATCAGCCTGAACAACATGGCAAAACCCCATCTCTACCAAAACATACAAAAATTAGCCAGGCAAGGTAGTGGGCGCCTGTAATCCCAGCTACTCAGGAGGCTGAGGCAGGAGAATTGCTTGAACCTGGGAGATGGAGGCTGCAGTGAGCCGAGATAGTGCCACTGCACTCTAGCCTGGGTGACAGAGAGAGATTCCATTTCCAAAAAAAAGCAAAGTACCATGTAAATTAATAACTAAAATAAAACAGGGTTACCAATATTAATAAAATAGAATTTAAGGTAAAAAGTAACTAATAGGAATAAAGAGGAAAACTACATAATGTCAAAAGCAAATCACCAACAAATCCACTAAATACAGCAAAACCAACAGAATTACAAAGAATAGCAAACAAATCCATAATCACAGTGGGAGACAAACTTTAACTGAAACTGAGGAAAGAGACCAAAAAAATTAGTAAGAATACGGGACTCCTTATTTGTTTATCTAAATGACTATCACTATATGGATGTCAAATAGGTATCTTAGCCTAACATGTCTAAAACGTATCTCCCCAAATGTGTTCCTCCCACAGTCTTCCCCATCTCAGCAAATAGAAATTCCATCTTCAATTTCTCAAGCTGAAAAGCTTTTCAATTATCTTTGCCACTTTATTGGCATCCATTCCGTTAGTAAGTCCTATTATTCACCTGCAAAATATGCTACAACCTGACTGCCCTCCTTCTGGTCCAGGCCGCCATTCTTTCTCTCCTAAGTTACTGCAACAGCCTTCTGGCTGAGGCCCCTGCTTCCATCCCCGCCCCCGAAGCCAGAATACTCCCTGGAAACAATACTTACCTGCTCATAATTCTCCAGTGACTCTCCACTGCATTCAGAGCAGAAGACCTTCCAGAGCTTTCAGGCTCTACATGATGTGGCTTCCCACCACTCCTCAGCCCTTTTCTCTTACCCCTTCTGGCTTGTTCACGCTATGCTATCATTGCTGGACTTCCTGCTACTCCTTGAACACATCTAGGCAAGCTCCTACCTCGGAGCTTTTGCATGTTTTTCTTCCTCCACATATCCATATGGCTGACTCTCTCATTTCCTCTATTTGTCCCAATATCATCTTCCATAACAAAGCTATTAAAAGTGCGACTATTGCTTTCACCATCCCCCTGAACCCGACGCTCCTTATCCTCCTCCCCTGCTTTATTTTGTTTCCTAGCTACTTATTACAATCTGACGTTCTACATATACTTATTTATTTTATGGTCTATTCCCCCATTCCCACTATCATGTAAACACCATAAGGGAAGCGACTTTTGGTCATTTTCTTCATTGCCATATTAGTAGTATATTTGAAAATTGTTTTAAACATTGCACAGCACAAATATAACTCAACATTTGTATATACAGAGCAGCTTTTATGTAGTTCTTTAATTTAATCCTCACAATAATGCTATCAATTTTGAATTCTCATTTCCATTTTATCTGAAAACAAAATAAGTAGGTTTAATGATTTGTCCAAAAACACATAGAAAATAAAAAGGACAGACTCCGACTCCAACCCATGATATCCAGGGCTCTTTGTATTCTACCAGAGGTGAAACACCATGATTGATGGTTAGCATCATAAAGAATGAATCAAGAACAAGCAGATTATGGGATTAGAGGTACCCACCATGGTGTCACCCAATTAACCCAATGGAAAGAAATGTATCACATTCACACCTCAGGGCATTCTCAGTGGTTTCATGTGCCCTTTTTTTTCTGCTTTGAGACAACAGTGTCGCTCTGTCACCCAGGCTAGAGGGCAGTCCAATCTTGGCTCACTGCAGCCTCCACCTCCAGGGTTCCAGCGATTCTCCTGTCTCAGCCTCCTGAGTAGCTGGGAATATAGGCATGTGCCACTATGCCAGGCTAATTTTTGCATTTTTAGTAGATGGGGTTTCACCATGTTGGCCAAGCTGCTCTCAAACTCCTGACCTCAAGTGATGTGCCCGTCTCGGCCTCCCAAAGTGTTAGAATTATAGGCATGAGTCACCATGCTCGGCCTGATGTGTCTTTAAAACTTAGCGCCCACGAAGCATATCAGGTGCAAATCATGGATCCTCCCCGCTCAATAGTCTTCAACCTTCCAGGGTCAATTTCTTTCTCTAAACAAGCATAGATATCCTACTAACACACAATTATAAAATTTAGAGCTTCAAGAAAAAAATTTATAGCTTGTTAAAGAATGTGGGAGAAGCATAATGCCTACCATCTGCCCTGTTCTATATAGAGCCCTTTGTTAGTTAAAGTGTTTTTTGCAATCAGCTGAAGTTTTTCTTTTATCATTTTATTTGTTTACCCCCACCCCCACTCACTTGAGAAACTCATAAATTGTGCATACAATGTACAAACTAAGGCATATAAATAGAGCACACCGACTGTACATACACGGTCCCCAACACATAAAGAAAGGTCTTCGAGCTAAATGATTATTTCACTGTCTTACAGTATGTTTCCAATAAAAACAGTACTTTAACATCATTTACCTCAAGTATTTTATCTCCAGTTTTAAGTGCGTTTGTTTTCCCTGCTGGACTGTCTTCTAAAACTTGTTTGATGAATATACCTTTAAGTTCCTCTCCATTCTTTAGACGTTTTATAACAGTTTGTCCACCAACAATACTGATCCCAAGAGACACATTGGGTTCTCTAAAAATCTCAACACTATATAAAGGAAAAAAACAAAACTCACTTATTAACAAGTTTAATCTGTTGGACTGTAAGTATTCCATTTGTATTATATCCTTGTGACTCATATTTTATACAAATTTTTGAAATATATTTTTACAAATGTTATACAAATTATACCTAGTTCCAATGTTATCAATAATTCATAACAAGTGAAAGCTTCAGTTCTGAAGAGCATAGATTTCTAGAACAATAAATATAACTCTAAATATTCAGTGAAGGTTTAGCTAAGCCCTAATGTTCCCATCTCCTATCACATTTTCTGTGATTAGTCCTTTTCATTTATATCCATAACATAAGCAAAGAAAGGACTGAAGAAATAACAACGGGCAAGACAAAAAATCAAGAAAGCTACATATGTCATTTCGGCAAAAAGTACAGACTTTCAGAATAAAATCAATTTGACACTGAGTGGCTCCTTGTCCAAGTTGCTTTTCCCAGTCAGCAGGTTTATCTCTGTGGTTCTTTAATCAGAGGACAGATTTTACCTGCTCCTAAGGTCACAAGGCTTTGTTTTCTTCCTACCTCCATGTCATTATTTAAAAGAAAGTATGAAATGAAAACTGCCCCCCTTCAAAATATTATAGGTTTTGCATTGCAGCCAATAATTAACTCATTAAAAACGTAACTCAGAAAACAACTCTTAAATGTTTTAAGACAAATTCAGATTTCAATTACAAGAAAAGAACCAGTTTGGGTGGAGGTGGTGGAATTAATAATAGATACGGAATAGAGAGAGCAGCTAAAGGGAGACTTTCATCATCTTAAAGTGCAGCCCTGGTGGGGACTTAAAATTACAGCGACTGGTGAGTATTTAAAACTTCCCCCACATCCAAGGGAAGATGGGTTTTCCACACATTCTGTTAGCACAAACATGGACTCTCCACCAGGGGAGGAAGGTAGAGATAAACTGATATATACTAGAAGCCTCAACTACTGTTATTGTTGTTTACCAAAAAAGAAAGCTTTACTGCATTCAAGGCAGCTTTACCCAACTTGCTTAAGGACATAGTGATAAACTATGCTTGTTAGATGGACATTTCTACGTTGCTTTCTCTGAAAGAGTATCAAAGATGTTCCTAATATTAGTTATAGTCGTTTCGTTCCGCTAAAAATCTCTAGATAAGATAAAACGAAACTAAAATGTAGACCAGCTTACAGGTGAATTATCACAATTTTTCAATCATTAGAGTAGGACTAAATGATGTTCTGTTAAGTTAAAGAAAAGAGTAACTGGTTGTGCTCCTATTGAGAAAGCCAATAATGTCATCCACATACATTCTCGGTGGACCCCAGTGGCTAAAATTTGGAGTTTCTTCTCCTTCGCCCTCTTCTCTCTCAGGTAACTCACTACAGAGGGAGAAAGAAAAAAATACACACAATTTTAAGGCACACTCATTATTAAGGTCCTTGGAAGGTTTTGAAATTGTAAAATCTATAGGTAGTTAAATGATTCTCAATTTTTAAATTTTTAAAATATTTACATCAATAAATATGCAAAGCAAAAATATACTGCTTTAACATTCAACTCAACTAATCCCCACCCAGCATTAGAAAATCACAGAATTATTACAAACACTTTTATTGGTGACACTCTAGATGCTAAAAGTTTGTGTTTGATTTGTGCAATTTCAAATTTGTTTCTCTATCAATATGTAAAATGTTATAAAATGTATTCCTTAAAACTTGGTATTGTTTGACCAGCTAAAACACAGAAATCGACAAGTATCATATGTATCAAGTATAAATCAACATGAACAGGTCAATATGATCTGTCTTTCTAGCCCTAAATATTTCCCCTGTCATTTGTATCCCATGAATATTTTGCATACTTATAGGGAACTTTTCAGTTACTTATATCATCTAAAATGATCCTCACTGCTTCCCACCTACCACCACTTTTCATCCAGCAAGTTAAGTTAGTATAGAACTACTGAACTGAACATTGTTGAAACCCGGTATCTACAAAAAAATCAGCTGTGCATGGTGGCACATGCCTGTAGTCCCAGCTACTTGGGAGGCTGAGGCTGGAAGATTGCTTGAGCCTGGAAAGTCAAGACTGCAGTGAGTCATGTTTGTGCCACTGCACTTCAGCCTAGGTGACAAAGCAAGACCCTGTTTCAAAATAAAAAAAAGAACTGCTGAACTGGATAATGTAAAATGCTGAGTTACAGAGTATTTAGTTATAAGATTAATGCAATAGTGAATAGACAGTGCAGTATATTATCTGGAAGAGAAATCAGAAGTCCTAAGCTCAAGTCTAACTTATACCATGAAATAGGTGTGTGGCTTTGGACCACTAAATGAAATCAGTCTGATGTTGTAAATTGTATTACTCTACACAAAAAACTAGGTGCTATCTCTTCCACTTCATTTTCATAAAAACCCTTGGCCAGGTGTGGTGGCTCATGGCTGTAATCCCAGGGCTTTGGGAGGTTAAGGCAGGAAGATCACTTGAGCCCAGGAGTTTAAGACCAACCTGGACAACACAGTGAGACCCCATCTCTTAAAAAAAAAAAAAAAAAATTAGCTGGGCATGGTGGCACACCTGTAGTACCAGCTACTGACTGGGGAGGCTGGGGCAGGAGGATCATTTGAGATCAGGAGCTCAAAGCTGTAGTGCGCTATAATCACACCACTATTCTCCAGCCTGGGCAACAGAGCAAGACTCTGTCTCAAAAACAAAAATCCCTCTAACCTACAAAGTAAGCACAGCAGATCACATTATATTTTACACAGGAGGAACTGAAGCTCAGAGAAGGCTTAAGCATACTATACAACCTCACAACCTTTCCTCATGTATCCAAATCTGTTTTAGCCCTAAGTTTCAATACTCCCATTTTTCTCTGAACTTTCAAGTAAGTCCTATAAAATGCAGCAAAACTCCACCTTCTTGGCCCTCTAGAGACGGATAAAACCATTGTAAGGCCATGTGAAAAGGAGAAGGCTGAAAGGATCTAGACAAGCCAAATATCAGTTAAGAAATTAGGATCGTTACATCTCGCCCACTACCAGATGTCTTTCTTACCTTAGCCAGTCTAATTTTTATGATTAAAAGCATCAGAGCATTCAGGGGAAAATAACGTGGCAGACACTTGCTGGTTACTTTCTAATGTCTTTTTTTCCCCTTCTTCCATAAATACATAACCCCTCTTCTATTCTAGGTGGCACTACGCCCAGGTTTGAAAAAAATACATTTTCTGGACTTTCTTTCAGCTAATGGGAACTGTGTGCCACACTGCTGATCAGTGATATGGAACCAAAAGTACCTAGATGAGACTTCCAGGAAAACTCATTAAAAGGAAGGAGAATCAGCTGGCAGGAGCCTTTTGCTCTGTGCCCTCCCCTTCTTCTTGCCTAGAATTCACAGGTGATATTGGTGGTAAAACATTCATCTTCAAATCATACAGAAACAATGAGGAGTAAGGTCATACATTAAGGGCAGCAGAGCAGAAAGGACAAAGGTATTTAAGACCCTGATGACAACAGCACCACACCATCCTAAGACCACCTTCTTCAGGACTTTTCACATGAAAAAAACTTGCCTTTATTTGGTTAAGTCACACTAAATGGGGTTTCTGTTTATGAGTATGTAACTGTAATCCCTCAATGATACACCCACAGTTCCACCAATTCAAGTAAACTGTTTTCACTTTAACCTATCACATTCTTGTTCTTTGCAACTAGATTATCATTAGACAACTGTAATCATAGCACCAACTGTCCTATTTTGATGATCTTATGTAATAACAACAAGGATTAAATTAGATATTAACTGAGGCTCAACCAATATTCATTTCCTCTATAATTTTTTTCACTTGAACTTATAACAAAAATCTACCCACACAGTATCATAATCTTCATCATTTTTTATTTACTAGTACCTTAATAGGCCATTGTATTGATGTAATTTATCTGCTATCTCAATATATGATGCACTTAGATTGTGTATTAGTCCATTTTCACACTGCTATGAAGATACTACCTGAGACTGGGTAATTTAAAAAGAAATGAGGTTTAATTGACTAACAGCTTCACATGGCTGGGGAAGCTTCAGGAAACTCACAACCATAGCAGAAGGTAAGGGGAAGGAAGGTATACATGGCAGCAGGAGAGAGAGAGTGCACAGGGGAAACTGCCACTTTTAAATCACCAGATCTCATGAGAACTCCCTCACTCTCATGAGAACACCATGTGAAAACTTCGCCCATGATCCAATCACCTCCCACCAGGTCCCTCACCTGACACATGGGAAATACGATTTGAGATGAAATTTGGGTAGGTACACGGAGCCAAACCATAACATTCCACCTTGGCCCCTTCCAACTCTCATGTCCTTTTCACATTTCAAAAGCAATCATGCCTTCCCAACAGTCTCCTAAAGTCTCAACTCCTTTAAGCATTAACCCAAAAGTCCAAGTCCAAAGTCTCATCTCAGACAGCCAAGTCCTTTCTACCTAGAAGCCTGTAAAATCAAAAACAAGTTAGTTATTCCCAAGATACAATGGGGGTACAGGCATTGGGTAAATGTTTTCATTCTTAATGTTCTCCAAATGGGAGAAATTGGCCAAAACAAAGGGGCCACAGGCTGCATGTATGTCCAAAACCTAGTGGGGTAGTCATTAATTTTTTTTTTTTGAGATGGAGTCTTCCTCTGTTGCCCAGGACGGAGTGCAGTGGCACAATCTTGGCTCACTGCAACCTCCACCTCCCAGTTCAAGCAATTCTCCTGACTCAGCCTCCCAAGTAGCTGGGCTTTCAGGTGTGCACCACCACACCTGGCTAATTTTTGTATGTTTAGTAGAGACAGGGTTTCACTACATTGGTCAGGCTGGTTTCAAACTTCTGACCTCAGGTGATTTGCCTGCCTCAGCCTCCCAAAGTCCTGGGATTACAGGCGTGAGCTACCGCCTAGTCATAGTCATTAAATCTTAAAGCTCCAAAATGATCTCCCTTGACTCCATGTCTCACATTCAAGAAACACTGATGCAAGGGGTGGGTTCCCAAGGCCTTGGGCAGCTCTGCCCCTGTGGCTCCGCAGGGTACAGCCCCCATGGTTGCTTTCACAAGCTGGAGGTGAGTGCCTGCAGCTTTTCCAGCTGCATATGCAAGCTGCCAGTGGAGATACCATTCTGGGGTCTGGAATATGATGGTTGTCCTCTTCTCACTGCTCCACAAGGCAGTGCCCCCATGGGGACTCCATTTGGGGGCTTCAACCCCACATTTCTCCTCTGCATTGCCCTGGTAGAGATTCTCCATGAGGGCTCTGCCCCTGAGCTGACTTCTGCCTGGACATCCAGACATTTTCATATATCCTCTGAAATCTAGGCAGAGGCTCCCAAAACTCAACTCTTGTCTTCTGTGCACCCTCAGGCCCACCACCACATGGATGCTGCCAAGGCTTGGAGCTGGTACCCTCTGAAGCAAGAGCCCGAGCTGTACCTTGGCCCCTTTTAGCCACAGCTGGAGCTGGAGCAGCTGGAATGCAGGGTACAAAGTACCAAGGCTGCACAGAGTAGCAGGGCCTTAGGCCTAGCCCGCAAAACCATTTTTCACTCCTAGGCCTCCGGGATTGTGGTGGGAGGGGCTGCACAAAGATCTCTGACATGCCCTAGAGATATTTTCCCCATTATCTTGGCTATTAACATTCAGTTCCTTGTTACTTATGCAAATTTCTGCAGCCAGATTGAATTCCTCCCCAGAAAATAGGTTTTTCTTTTCTACCACATGGTCAGGCTGCAAATTTTCTACACCTTTATGCTCTGCTTCCTTTTTAAATATAAGTTCCAATTTCAAACCATCTCTTTGTGAACATATATGATTCAATGCTTTCAGAAAAAGCCAGGTCACCTCTTCAATGCTTTGCTGCTTAGAAATTCCTTCCGCCAGATACCCTAAATCATCTCTCTCAAGTTCAAAGTTCCACAGATCTCTAGGGCACGGGCAAAATGCTGCCAGTCTTTTTGCTAAAGCATAGCAAGAGTGACCTTTGCTCCACTTCCCAATAAATTCCTCGTCTTCATCTGAGACCAACCCAGCCTGGACTTCATTGTCCATATCACCATCAGCATTTTGGTCAAAAGTATTCAACAAGTCTCTAGGAAGTTCCAAACTTTCCCACATCTTCCTGTCTGCTTCTGAGCCCTCCAAATCATTCCAACCTCTCCCTATTAGGCAGTTCCAAAGTCACTTCTACATTTTCAGGTTATCTTTATAGCAGTACTTCACTCTGCTGGGACCAATTCTCTATATTAGTCCATTATCACACTGTATAAAGATACTACCTGAGACTGGGTAATTTATAAAGAAAAGAGGTTTAATTTACTCACAGTTCCACATGGCTGGGGAGG